TGCAAAACTTGTTTTCCTTAACACCACCAAGCGAGTGCTTCAACAATCTGGGAAAGACCAGTCGCCAATCCTCGACACTTCAAACTGCATATATCAATTTGAGTGTGTTTGTGGCAGCAAATACATAGGTCGTACGGAAAGGCGATTGTCTACTCGCATGATGGAGCATTTGCCAAAATGGTTGAAAACAGCTGAGTGCAAAGTCCCAAAATCCTCAATAACAAAACATCTCGTGGATTACGGACATGATATCGACGCCGTCAAGTCATTCACCATCGTCAGCAAACAAAGAAACAAGAAGATGCTTGCAATTGCAGAGGCTTGTGCAATTCGAATTTACAAACCATCCCTCTGTATACAAAAGGAGATGGTCGTCACTCTGAATCTACCATGGTAATACGCTTTACTTATTATTCTCTACTTGTTATTACTATTATTCTACCTCTTCTTATTATTATTTTTGTTATTATTACTACCATTATTATTATTATTCTTGATTCATTTAAATCTATGCTTTATCCGTAAGATTATCTTAACTCACTTCAACACTATTATTATTATTGTTATTAAAACTATTACTATCGATATTAGTCTGTTTGCAATTCTCGTTATATTCCCTAATGACTAATTGTTTATCTAAGTGATGTAATTGAAGCGTAATGCAATTTATCTTAATTTTGATCTCTCATACTCTCTCTCCCCTTATCTATTTGAACATGACCTGGAAAATATTCGCACCTGTCTCTCTGCATGATTAATTCAATGTAGTTTGTTTACTTATCAGTCTTATATCTCCCTATGTAATTTCAAAAGTATATATATTCGTGTATGTAGAGTATTCAACTTATCAGTCTTATATCACCCAATGTAATTTCAAAAGTATATATATTCGTGTATGTAGAGTATTCAGCTGACGAGTTCTACCGAAATTTGATGAATTCATTAAATCCTGCTTTATTAACCTTTATTGCTTGTTTTAAATTCGTATCGGGAAATAAATGTTTTCAACATATTTATATATATTTCCTGTACATTATTATAGCTTATTCAAGTAGACAAACGCAGTCTTCTGATTGGTTGTTTCTCGGAAGTTAAGCAGACAAACGCAGGCTTCTGATTGGTTGTTTGTCAACCTTTATGATTTTCTACTAAGCCCACCAATTCTGTAGCATTTTATTACAATTTACAATTTAGCCTCTTTATTTTATCATTAGACATTATCGGTCAGCCCTCATATCCAGTGCCTCCTTTGTTAATGTGTGTTTGTATGTATTTTGCGGTTATCGCATTTTTCTCACCCCAAGGACACTTGCATTCTGTTAACTATAAGACTACACTATATCACCCAATTGTTCATTCATACTTCATCAAATTTTCTGACTAAACACCCTGTACACATTTAATTGACTATGCTAACTAATGGACTATCATCTCAACTTACACATGCCCCCCAATACAGTTTCTGATATTATTTTCATTTGCCTTTATTGGCTATATGTACTCGACTACTCATGGATTTATAACTGTAGAGCCTGAAGAAGAAGTTATCGAAAACAGTTGTTCGCTCAAAATCTTGTTTTGATTTCAATATGGGGATTTTTTCATTTACTGAGATAAAAGTGTTGATAAGTGGTTTCTAATAGATGCCTTACTGGAGGGAAAATTTAATACTGCATTAGGGCGGTTGTATATAGGCTACTGATGCTTAAGAAATGGTAATATAATCACTACAACCGTTAAGCGAACTGCACATCACTTCATTAAGAGATCCTCGTGGATACACACATGATATACAATCTTGGACAAGCGGAACCTTTCTAGCTACTTTTATCTGTCGGCTTCACCCTTTCCCACAATTTAGAAGGAATAGGTGCTACAGGCTGGAATAAAATAAGTGAATACGTAAGCTTAGTGGAAAGTTGATATTAAGGTCTATACACTTGGAAATCCAAGGAGGGATGAAGTCTCTATATAACAGGAACTGCAAGAATACAATAATAATTTGGGTGAAAAATTCAATAAAAGCTAGAAGAAATGAAGAAAAATTGATCACTCATGCTCACGACTCCCCACACATGTTAGACTTGGTCGTTGCAGATTTACTTTCGTCTTACATCAGTCATAAGGGGCTAGAACTTCTTCACACAACACGTATATCAAAACAAAATGGAATATGTATCAAATCCCAGCTGACTGAATGACAATGAAGATTCTTCAAATGATCCAGTATTCACTTTAATGCCCAAACCGTACGGCAACATAACGATACTACTGAAAAGAAAAACACTCGCAACACTAGATCTAATATTTGTTAAGACAAAACATAAGGAACACTGACAAAATGAGAAACTTTCAACTGATTTCACCATTTGCAAATAATACAATACATTCTGTATTCGGCGGGTGTCCTCGAGATGCTGTTGGTGATATGCCTCAAAATCACTGTCATTGGTACAGAAGAGGCATTCCCCCTTTGTGACTTCCCATATACACAAATCCATCATGTTTTTCCATGTTACTATCCTTCCTCCCACGCATTCCTCCTTCTTTTGGATTTCTTTTTAGCTCTTTTGACTTTCTAAATGGCGTGTGGCAACTTGAAATGCTGCACTTCTGTGGACAGCTCTATACTGAAACTCAGTCAGTCAGTAGCTGTTTGTTCTTTTGGGTACGTCGCTCATTTGACTCCCTTTCAAAATAATAAGTCTCCTAATTCCTTCTTTAGCCGTTTCCCAGTTGACATACGCAAAACACCATTGCTTCTCTGAAGATGTTACTCTATTGTATGCATTAGTGATAAGAATTTACAAGTAACGTACTTTATGGTGTCTTCTGAAAACGTTTTGGGCAGAAGAGCGACGGATGAAGCCGCAAACAAAAAACATGGGAAGCTAGTCGGTTATCAGTGTGGAAACGATGAAAATGAAGAGTAAACAACCGGAGAGAAACAAAGCAGACTAGTTTGTGCAAACTCGATTCTCTATGTAAGGGAGTACTTACTTTTACTTTACTTCGGCTATCTCCTACGGGAGGATGAGCCGGCTTCATGAACATCTCAAATCATCGCTGCCCAGGCGCGGCGATCTGATGCAAGGTTTTGCGACAGAGTTATCCAATTCTTGTTCCACAGACGGAGTCCGTAGACGGTTTGTAGCCCCAGTCACTCCATATCAACCTTGACTGTACCAAGCCATGTTTTCAGCTGTCCTTTCAAGAAGTAATGCAGAGTCATACTCCTGTCCACTTCAAACAAAACACCAAGCCGCGTCAACCTGGAGAGACTGGAAATGTTTTGAATGCGAAAATCTGTCCAGAACAAGCTAGATTCCGTGAAAGCAAATAGTGTGCGGATCGAATTGCAACGCTACGCATTATCATCGAACAGATCACAGAATGCAAGTAATTGTGTGTCAATTGATTTCCAAGAGAGAACTCAGTGAAGCGCTTGAAGTAAAGACAGGAATAAGACAAGGCTGTCTACTATCACCGATGGATATTCCTGATTATGGTAGACCAGCTTATGCAACGGACGATGGGGAGTGAGAAGACAGGCATACGCTAGGCCAAAAAGAAGACTAGAGAAGATATAGACTTTGCGGATAATTTGTCTAATGTCGCAACAAACTCGAAGATTTATGGGTGAAAATCAAGTTGACAGAAGAAGCAACGAAGAGAGGACTCCGAGTGAACATAGAGAAGATAGGGGTGAGGAAAATACTCGATGACCATAAACAACACGCATCAATTGTCATCAACCGAAGGAATCTAAGAGAATTTACTTCTTCCACTTACCTAGGCAGCACTATTACAACTACAAGCGGTGAGTTTAACAGAGCCAGAGCATCAGAAAAGCCAAATATATCTTCATTACTCTGAAATCAATGTGGAGATCTATTGCATTCGGCAGACAGAACAAGATTCGGCTTTCGAACACTAATGTCAACTGAATGCTTCCATATGTTTGAGAGACTTGGCGCGTCACGAAAATCATTCCCAATAGACTGATGACTTTTATCACTAGCTACCCCGTCAGCTCTAATAATGAAGATCAGATGGCCGGTTGCGAAGGATAAGCTACAAGAACTCTGACAAACAATGAACGAGAACCAAAGAGCCTACTGCCACTCAACATATAAGTCGAAGGAAATGGATCCCACACATTCTGAGACGACTATTGAGTGAGGTTAAGCATCAGTTAGGCAACCGAGTGAAGCGACGAGTTGGACGTGGGCTCACAGTGTGACATGAAGAAGATAGTGTGAGGAAGAGATGAAGGCTCAATAATGATAATGGAGCCAGAACAAAAAGGGACTGAAGAGAACAGGATGAAATGTAGACGTACTGTTGAAGCCTTATGTTTCATTTGAAACAACACGATAGGGAATAGTGATGATAGTGTAATAAAAGTGTATAATTTATACTTTATTCCTTCCTTTAAAAGACGAATAATATCAAAAGAAGGTGAAATGGGGCAAAAATAGGATCTCTTAAAAAATGAATAAGATATTCACGTCAGCAGTTATATGTATATGTATTGTATATGTATGCATATCACATCAAACGCTGTTTTACAATTTTTCTATATGATTTAAAGAGTATATATATTCATGCATATGCATGTTAGTAGTTAAGTGAGATGAGAACAAGAGAAACAGAAAATAGATGATGAGTTGTTCATTTCAGTCAATATATATATTCAGACAGACGGTATTATAATATTGAATTACAAAATGACATGCATACACTCTATAACACATTTCAATTCAGACAAAGCAAAACAAATTGAAAATGAAAAACAGTTAAAACTTGTTCAATGAAGTTGAAAGGCATGATAAAGACATTATGGATGCAGAAGCAGGGGTTCACACACACACACACGAAATTCTTTTATGATCTTAATAATCATAATAATAATAATGATTAGAAAAAAAAGAAAAGAGAGTGTACATTGGTTGGAAAATTGACTGTCTATCTGATTGGCACTATAATTTATTGCAAGTTTACAATATATTACATCGATCAGATTGAGACTTAATATTTCGTAGACGTTTTCGTGGACGAAAATTTTTCAAATACTGTATCTGACGTGCATTCAACGCTCCATTTCTTTGACTATAAACAACACCAAAGATATAGAGAAATAGTTGACGTAGGTGTTGAAAAGAAAATAGTTCACCAAGAAATGAAATAAAATCATATACTAATTTTCAAGTATTGGTTTTGTAGGGATTTTGTTTGATTGCATGGAGGATTTAATCATGAGCTGACATCAGTTAGAGAACCACTGGAAAACCTGGGAGTACTGGACAGCTGTTTCGTCCTACTTTGGGACTCTTCAGCAGTACGCACCCACCGGGATTCGAACCCAGGACCTTCTGGTTACAAGGCGAGCTCGTAGACCATTGAGCCACTGGGACCCGATCCAATGGTCCTTGAATTCTAACTTCTGCCAATTCACGACATAGCGCGACCACTTCGGGTTCTAGTGGGAAGCCGTGACCAGTAGGGTGCAGCAGGTTGAAGATGAGGCAGTAACTCATGGAAGAAGACATTGCGAAGTGGTCGCGCTATGTCGTGAATTGGCAGAAGTTAGAATTCAAGGACCATTGGGTCGGGTCCCAGTGGCTCAATGGTCTACGAGCTCGCCTTGTAACCAGAAGGTCTTGGGTTCGAATCCCGGTGGGTGCGTACTGCTGAAGAGTCCCAAAGTAGGACGAAACAGCTGTCCAGTACTCCCAGGTTTTCCAGTGGTACTCTAACTGATGTCAGCTCATGATTAAATCCTCCATATACTAATTAACAAAACTGTATCAGCGATCAGAATACAACGCGTCTCTGAGTCTTCATACATCGTAATCCAGGCTGAATCGTCTAAGGGTTAAATTGCCTTGAATTTCAGTGAGAATCCGTCACCGGTGAGATTCAAGAAGTTGGGCATGAAAACAGATACTCATCGATAACATTGGATGATGGTAATTGTTTATGTCACCGATGTCATGTGATTCAAATAAGTCCTTCTCATTATGGCAGTTGTAAGCCTTTTCTAACATTACTCACTTCAACAAGCAAAAGAGCTTCTAGTACTCTGAATGTTTACTAATTTGTTCGCCAAGAAACGTCCATCAAGGTCCAAGGTGCCAAATCCTAGTGGATCAGTTAGATAAGTGAGTGTAAATGTCCTGTTATAAGAAATCGATACTATTTCGGACAAACATACAGATCGTGTTTGGTGATCAAACAATACTACGAAGTGTTCCATACTGAGCTTGTTGGTAATCTTCTTTCATACAGATATTTACCTATTTCATTAAATCCCATCTTTTCTACGGTTTGGTGATACAACTTGTTTGTTTGTATCACAGTAGGCAGTGAAATGTACATTTCCGTGCATTCAATAGCGTAAGAACCGATATAGGAATTCATCTCAATGCACTTTATTGGCTTGTTTGTCCTCACAGCAACTAACAACAGGGGGGGGGGGAATAAACTGATCAATGCACGCACATAGAAGTGGCTTGAATTGATTTTTTTCTTTTTCTATGCATTATGAAAAACAACTGTCTACTAGGGAGTGTGATTTTTACACTGACAACAATCCTTCAAGAAGATTCGGAGGTGTATGCACTGAATCCATCCATACAAAAAGCATATCTAAGCTTTTAACTCTAATCTTATTTCTACAATTATATTACATATTGTAGGTCAGTTCGGATACGGACCTGTTAAGACCGAGAGTGAATAGGTTCTGTTAAGTAAGTCCTATTCGTTGCCTTCACGCGGCGGCGACGTTCCTCACAAAAGTGAACGTCTGGAGTTCACAACCACACTGGTGGAAATACAGGTCTACCACCTATGGTAACCATGGGAACGTAGCTTTTGACGCTGCTCTATTGCGTTGTGGATCAGACTCCAAGTTAAAGCGTCTTCGGGAGGGGGCGGGCTTAACATAACCACCTGCTTTGGTGTACGCAGTAGTACACCAACTCTCGCACAAACCACAAGATTTTGTCTGGCAAATCTGTTGGTGGCTATAATGTACCAAGTTTATGTTTAAATAATAATAATAATAATTAACACAATGCCATTACATTGTTGAGCACGTCAAAAGGGATAGTATGGATTCGTTAGTGAAGTTATTTTTTTCATCTTATAATCCTTCTTATAGTCAAGCAGCATACAAGACTAACAACATATTTACACACTCATAGTAGTACAAAGAAAGACATGTAAATTGTAAACAACAAAAGACTGTAAACATACCCTCGAATCATTTCTACTGCTTCGTCATACGGTAAACCAAGTTCAATCAGAGCTGCAGCAACAAGAGCAGGAGCTCTAAAATCAATTTTAAAAAAACACAAAAACACGTTCATGAGTGATTCCTAGGTATAATATTGAAATACTAAAAAACAATACTGATGAAAATAATTCGGTATGCTTCTGGCTGGCCATCGGATCTTCAATACAGTTTAAAGACAGCTCTCGATTAAAGTCTACATCATCAGCCTGTTGGAAATGCTGTTCATGATGCACGTGCTAAGTCTTCTGTCTGTCTGTTTTCGACATAGAACTTTGCACAAATGTACGGAAGTTCAAGTCGCCACATTCCGTGTAGCACGCGAAGCAAGAGAAGAAAGTACAAGAAAAGCATAATAGAAACAGTGAGCAGAAGTGTGAGACAAAGGAGTAATAAAGAAATACAAAACAGTTTCATTGAAGATCATAAGTCACAGGGAGTGGATGCATCTGCGCCACTGAGAACGATTTTGAGCCATGTCACCAATTGTTTCCAACCATAGATTTTTACCGTCTCGAGGACCCCAGCCTGGAAGTCTACACCTTTCTACGTGGCTTAGACCAACTGTTGTGGATTTCATTGACTGATGCCAAGTTTTTGTTTGACCGCCGCTAGCTTTTTTCCAGCCTGACCCTATATCCGCTAACATTGCCCGTCGAGGGAGGCGATGGCTTGGCATACGTAACACATGTCCTAACCATCTCAGTCTTTGTAGCTTCACGACTTCGTCGACTGATTTCCCCTGTTTACCTAGAACTCTGCGCCTAACCTCCATGTTGCTCACCTTATTATGCCACTTTACACGGGAAATAGAACGCAGGCACCTATGATCAAAGACAGCTAGTCTTTTCATGTCTTCCACTCTCAGTGGCCAGGTCTCACAACCATAAAGGAGGACGGAGCGGACTGATGAGCAGTACACCCGCCCTTTGGTCGATAGTCGAACATCTCGTCTACGCCAGAGTCGGCGTAAACTAACAAATGCGAAACGAGCCCCTTGTATTCGTGCTGAGATTTCGTCAGAGATCAGCCCGTTGGCGTTGGCTGATGGTACTTCCCAAATAAGTGAAGCGGTCAACGTGCTCTACCACTTCACTTCCTATTTTTAAACTAGGTGTCGATGTAGTCCAGTCCTGTAACATCATCTTGCGTCGGTGGCACAGTGGTTAGGACTCTCGCCGACCATGCACATGGTCCGGGGTTCGAGCCCACGCCGGCGCACACCTGATATCTATGGTCGGCCTGCAAAATTTGGGCTACCGATATCCATGCTGAAAATTCCATACTTGTACCAAAAATACAGTGTGGAATCAAGCTGTAAATCAAAAATCAAAAAAAAATCATTTGGCGGGAGCGAATCGCATGCCAAACATTCGTAGATTGCGGCTCAGGGTGTTTAGAAGACTCTGCATTTCGTCAGCGTCTTCGCCTAGAAGGACTATATCGTCTGCATATTCCAAGTCAACGAGATTATCCCCTGGTAGCAAGTCAATCCCTGAGTCGCTGAAGTCACCTAGGGTTAAGTCCATTAACACATCTATGATGAAGTTGAATAGAAAAGGAGATAATGGGCATCCTTGACGGACACCACTGGTCGTCATCAGTTCAGATGACAGCTCGCCGTAAGCCCTCACCTGGCTGTATGAGTACGAGTAGAGTGCCTTAATCAGTGCAATATATTTTCTTGGAATTCCCTTTACAGCCAAGCATCTCCAGAGAAATTCCCGATCGACAGAGTCGAATCTTTTATTTTTTTATTTTTTTTGATTTACAGCTTGATTCCACACAGTATTTTTGGTACAAGTATGGAATTTTCAGCGTGGATATCGGTAGCCCAAATTTTGCAGGCCGACCATAGATATCGAGTGTGCGCCGGCGTGGGCTCGAACCCCGGACCATGTGCATGGTCGGCGAGAGTCCTAAGCACTGTGCTGCCTTTAGGTCAAGCTAAGTCTTCGAACCACATAGAAGCACTGGCTGACTTGCCATTAATGTTACAGAGAACTTGGACCTTTTTTTCTAATAGTGAGTCCAGCACATTTCCATAAATTTCAGATCAGCGAAGGTTTATCTTGTTCTGTCAATCGTGGCCAGCTTTGACATCCTCATCCATGACGCCTGTCTGTCTGTAATTGAAATGAGGTTGCCTAGGTATACGCGTAAGAAGTGACTTCCTTCAAATTTCCTCCACTGATGGCGACTAGTGCGTGTTGTTGTTGGTCAGGTATCTTTATCACCTGTCTTATTCATGTTCACATGGAGCCGTGTGTTTGCCGCTTCTTCTGCATTGAGGAAATCACCAGTAGTTGCATAACGTTAGAGGCAGACAAAAAAACATCCATGACCACCATGAATATATTTATCATTGTGAGATTTATTATCAAGCAATGAATTAAGGCGATATAAAAATAACATCCAACACTATACGCTTCATCACTAATCCCAGTGACCACACTACACACACACACACACACTATGAATAGACGTTGATGAATACCCAGTGTTAAAAAATATCCACAATAATGCCGCGACTGACAGATGAGTTCCGTCTTGTTTACCAAACTAGATGAGATAACAAAACAATACTTATTCAAAAGTGATTAAAATTATTTATTTTTTATTTATTTTATTTTTTTATTTTTTATTTTCATTTTTTTTTATTTTTGATTACAGCTTGATTCCACACTGTATATTTGGTACAAGTATGGAATTTTCAGCATGTGGTATCGGTAGGCCAAATTTTGCAAGCCGACCATAGATATCAGGTGTGCGTCGGCAGGGGATCGAACCTCGGACCATGTGTATGGTCGGCGATAGTCCTAACCACTGTGCCACCGAGGCACAAAACACGAAAGCAGAGCATATTTTTCGATTTTTGTCTTAACAAAAATTCATTGATTGCCGCCAAGATTAACTATTCATCCTTTTATTGATATAGATATCCTATTTATTACATTCCACAACTCACCTGCCAAGCCCGGCCTTGCAGTGTACAGCTATACAACTTCCAGGGCCTTGTTGACACACATCCGTAATTAGTTGGAACCATTTATCAATTACTTGGTCTGGAGGAGGGGCACCGTCATCATATTCAAGATCCTGTAAAATGTCAAAAGATTAGACAATTAAACTGTCATACAAAAATAAGAAATATTTACACATAAGTGTAGTCTGACGTAATTGTTGTATTAGGTTACTGAGAACCCAGTGTTTTCGAGAAGAATGAATATTACAGGATGAAAATTCAATCTGCAACCGAATTTTTGCATGCAAATGATGAACTATATAGTAGAGAACTTTAATTCTAAGTGACTGCAGACAGATTGAATTGCAGTTACTCAACGATATGCTTTGTTGCTGTTATCTGAGTGAAAGATATGTTAACCTTATACTATAACCAGTGTGTCAATTATACTGTCTTTGCTTAGCCAATACTTAAACAAACAGCTAGTAACTGACTACTCAAATAAAGTATAATTATATTTTAATAGTTTACACACAATGATAGGTTTTGTTATTGGTAATTTTGCTCGAAATATTACCAATAACAAAACTTATCAATGTGTGTAAACTATTAAAATATAATTATACTTTATTTGATCTAATCCACAATGCTCAAACTTTTTACTGATATTAACTGACTACTCCTTAAGCATATGATTCTTAACATAATCTAGATTGGGATTGCTTAAAATTCACCGATTCGAACTTTTCGACCATCCTATTAGTCCTTACCTCACATGATTCTCAACACCAAAAACCATTGAAAATGACTACCTTGGAAGCTTTATCACAAAGTTCATTAAGAATATACCACCGAACCATACACACTTTATGCCCCCCCCCAAAAAAAAAACTTTCACATTTAGATTTGCAATTCAATGAAGACTCATCATCAGAAACACTAAGAAACTGTTTGTCCCGTTAACTGAAGAAAATCTTCGCAGCTGAACTTCGACCTACTTTCTCTACAAAATCCAATAATTTGTATAAACCTGAAGGATAGGCTATCACTACTGGCCCCATCAATGTATATCTATCAAGTCACCTGCTTCTATAGAGGTAGATATGTCGGCTGTACTCACCGTTTGCTACCCAAACGTATCATGGAACAATTACCCTCATGGTTTTATAGAGGAGAGAAAATCCCCCCCCCAGCTCCATTCTGAACACAGACTAAACACTCAAACCAACCTCAGAGTCATCTACAGAATATGCGGGAATCTTGACAAAGGAATACGCATTACGCTTCCTTGAACCTACAGAATCTATGGCAATTCACATGTTAAATCCTGAAATCTGTATACAGAAATTTGTTTAGACACTGAAACTACCATGGACCTAATTTGTCTCAACGCCTGGTGTGTGTAATTTTTGGTAGCCTTAATTTTTCAACTACTTTTTTTTATATTTTATTTTTCTGTTTTCGTACTAGTATATTATTACTCCACATGACACTGATCTTAACTTGACTCTTTTTCAATTTTAGCTGAACTCTACTCAATCCTCTTTATTACGTTATGTCACTTGTTTTACTGATTTAATTCTACTTTAGTTTCTAGTCGATTAATATTTTCCGTATTGCAGCGTAGTTGGTATCGAAAACTAACAATTTTTAGAACACATCTTTGTAAAGATTCCTTTAGTTGTTATGAAAATGTAATACATATATATATATATATTTCCTTCACGTTCTCCAGTGGAACATAGGGCTTCAAGCTAGTGGCTTGAAGTTTCTGTAGCAATGTTTAATTTTACAGGATGGGGTTGCTAGCCTCATGCCCAACCTTTCCTCTTTACCAGCATTATTTATGGCTTAGCAAGGTAAAGGAGTGCGTCGGCCGGGAATCGAACTCCGGACCATGTGCATGGCCGGCGAGCGTCCTAACCGCTATGCCACCGACGCATATATATATATATATATATATATATATATATATATATATATATATGCAACTGTACACTTTGAGAATGATATTCCCGAAAAAATTAGTTTTTCTCTGAACGCCTATTCTTTACATGGCTTAAGCTACAAGAATCATTAAACAAGATAAGTAATTTACTCGACTGCAAGGAGTAGCAAAAACGCTTGAGCTCATAGAAATTACAACTCATGATGAATGCTTTCATAAAACTACTTGAATAATATACCTACATACCTTGTAAAAGATGTTGTTATTGTAAGTTGGAGCTGTGACTCATTGGTCTACATACCCGACTTCCAACCAGTGGATCACAGATTTGAACCCCGCTTCATCTACTGAAGTCAGTTACGGCAACTAGGTAGTGCTACCGCTGATAACACAACAAGTGTGGTTTATTGCCAAGTATACATATAGATGCAAATAACTACTGAATTAAGTCCCAGTTTTTCGGTTTAGACCAAGTTATACAGTACGTTTTTTTTTGGATCATTAGGTCAAAAATCCGAATACTGGCTCCACCTACCAAGGCTTGGTCAGCCAGATAATAGTAGCAGTATTATTAGCCCTTATTCGACGGCAGGTGTTGTTTACCTCTTCCCATCAAAGGAATGTGTATGCAAATTGTCTGTTAACTAACAAGAAAACACGCAAAACTTGTAAAATGTTAATACTTACGACAACTTCAATCCCAGCAGTTTCCAATGTTTCTTTACCATAGTTAGCTTTACACACTCGAACCAATTTGCGTACATTGTGTAATTTACAAACCTAAATATATGTTGAAGATAAAACATATGAAAACAGAATTTTCACGATTACTTAGGAATCGCTATTAACTTTACTCGCTCTTCAAGTCAGAATGTATTTGTTAGCATAAACTCCGCTGTATATAAGAATAGTATTCGGGCAATGTAACAGAGGATAATTTCTCCGTAGAATAAGTTTATTTGATGAAATCAGTGTTATTAACTGATGAAGTTTCGAGCACAATCTACTGCTCATAGTCATATCTCAAGGCATTCACATGACTTCCAAACTTAGTTTATGTAATTCTACTACTTCTTATCCTTTGATTTCATTGGTAGTAATGTATATATCTCCCTTTCTCTTGTGTCGTCGTTGTGTCATTCTTATTGCATGTGTTAGGTGCAGACTTAACGAACAAAGATCCAGTGATCTCCCTGCACTTGCCTACGTAGGATGTTTCTTAATAAAGCCCAAATTAGGCTGGGTAACTTAAACCTACAAACTCATTCAGAGACAAGTTATACAGGCTAAAGGACCTAAGTATCCCAATTAAACAAAATAATGTATTCTACAAAATACCTTGCAATGCCTGTGAGGTAAATTACACGGATCACAAATCATTAGATTGAGGGTTGTTAGATTAACGATAAATAATGGCTTAGAAAAGTGTAGAATGACCGATCACACAAAGAGATGAACAGTTTAGAGGAAAACTAAGCAGTCGCAATGCACGCATTCTCACAATAACACAATAGGGTGGGACAGAGCTATAGTTATAGAGAAGTAATGCAGGTCTTTTATACGGGTTGCATCATATGTTGTTTTGACTTATAGTTTAGTATACTTTGCATTTGAGTAGGAAAAATAACTTATATTCCCGAAGATTTTACTATAATCACTGTGAACACACCGTTCTCTTAGTTATTAAAAACCTTTGATATTGCTGCACTTGCTAGGTACAATATCAACAACACAGAGTATCACTGGAGATCCAAACAGTAGTTTGAAAAATGTTCAATTACCTAGGCTTAGTTAGTGCTAAGAATGAGTTAGATGATTGCATTGGTGTAAAACTACGAAAGGGGGAAATTTTGTAAAAATCGCATTACGTCAATTAAAGTTAGACACATTAACTGAAGAGAAAAAGGCAGAAAGGAGAATCTGATATAGTTCACACCACTATATAATACAATTAACTTTGGACTTATTTACACAAAGAAACGGAGAATATGATTCAGTTTGTCATACTCATAACAATGCCTACATATTTGAGTTTACTCGACAGTAAATAAATCCCGGTGGGTGCATACTGCTGAAGAGTCCCAAACTAGGACGAAACAGCTGTCCAGTACTCCCAGGTTTTCCAATGGTTCTCTAACTAATGTCAGCTCATGATGAAATCCTGGAACCAATCAAATCCCTAAAAACCAACTCTTAAATATACGCTAATTTCAGCAAGATGGTTTAAACTGCAGATTAATTTGTGCAGTTGGAATCCCCCCCTCACATCAAATAGTAGTTTGCTGGCCACATTGAGGTGATATAATTACAACTTGGCTAGAATGCTTGCTATTTTACTGTAATTCTTGCTATGAAGCAGGTCATATATTGTGATTAATGATTCTTGGTTTACAGAAGAAACTGGTCAATTCTCCCCTCAAAATATGTAATCTGCTAATGATAGACTGTATTCTACACCCCTCCAGTATTTTAAACTGAAGTGATTGACGACAGATGAGGATACACAAACGACATTCTAAAACTCTAGCTATCTCCTAGTGTACTACAACAAAGCAGGAAGACGCAACTTACCATCACAAAATTTTCCATATTGCATGCAGTAGGCTCATCAGTAATTAGGAAATGAGCTGATTTGTACTCTACTAATGTAACATGAGGCTGTTGTAGTTGACGTGATAGTTTTGAACCACTCGAAAATGATTGAAAGCTACCATGGCGATTATTGACATTAGAATGTCTAGCAATTCTGACTACGGAATTATTTGCAGTAACTGGTGGATGGACTGACATGACTGATTATTTGTTTCACCTGAAAGAGGAGAATATACACATGCGATAAAAAACCATCCTACTAAGCAACAGTGGGAAGAGGAGTTTAATCAAAATATTCTCATACTCTAGATCGTTTCTTCAGTTCTGCCGAATTTGAGATTTTAATGTTTAATGAATGATCATCTCCACAATGAATGAATTCTGAGTACGGCTTTACGCCTGAATTACTTTCAAACACTTGCAGACACCTTTATGACAGTTGCAGTGACCTGGTATGAGGCAAATAAGAGAGAACCAGGCAGGCTATACTGACTGTATATTCACCCTTCCAACAGTTTCAGAACATAGGCATACTTACCGGGGTCCAATAATCATATTTCTTGACATAAATGCGGCATTTATTTCCGTCGACCGAAAAGTACTCTGGCGATGATTGGCTGTAAAGGGAATGCCGAGGAAATACATTGCACTGATGAAGGCACTCTACTCGAACTCATGCAGTCAGCCAGGTGAAAGCTTACAGCGAGTTGTCATCTGAAGTGATGACAGCTAGTGGTGTCCGTCAGGGATGCCCACTGTCCCCATTTCTATTCAATTTCATCATAGATGTACTAATGGACTTAACCCTAACTGACTTCAGCGACTCGGGGATTGACTTCTTACCAAGGAATAATCTCGTTGACTTAGAAGATGCAGATGATATAGTCCTCCCTCCTAGGTGAAGACGCTGACAAAATGCAGAATCTTCTGAACACCTTGAGCTGCAATCTTCGAATGTTTGGCATGAGATTCACTTTTGTTAGATGTAAAATGATGCTACAGGACTGGACTACATTGAACTTAAAGATAGGGAGTGAAGTGATGTAGAGTGTTGACCACTTCACTCATTTGGGAAGTTGCATCAGCCCCAACTGGTTGATCGCTGACGAAATCTCAGCACGGATACAGAACGCTTATTTAGTATATACCCGCCAGCTTACACCATCTCTGGCGTAGACGTGATATCAGTCTGTCGACCAAAGGACGTGTGTACTGCTCAGAAGTTCGCTCAGTCTTCCTTTATGGCTGTGACACATGGCCATCGAAAGTGGAAGATATTAAAAGGCTAGCTACTTTTGATCATAGGTGACTATGTTCTGGCTCCCGTGTGAAGTGGCATAATAAGGTGAGCAATATTGAGGTTAGGCGTCGAGTGCTATGCAGGGAGGGGAAATCGATAGACGAGACTGTGAAGTTACACCGACTAAGATGGTTAGGACGTCTGTTACGTATGCCCAGTCATCGCCTTCCTAGAAGGGTAATGTCAGCTGACGAAGGATTGGTCAGGTTGGAAAAGAGTTAATGGTGGTCAAACTAAAACATGGCTTCATTGGTCAATGAAATCTACCAGTTAGTTTAAGCCAAGTCGGGAGGTGTTGATTTCATGACTGGTTGGGGTCCTCGGGATGGCAAAAACCAGTGGCTGGAAACAATGGGTGATATGGCTCAAAATTGTTCTCAATGACGCAAATGCATTCACAGTTTGTGATCTATAATATCCAATAAAATTTTATTGTTCTCCCATATTACTATTCTTTTTCACTAGCACTTATGTTATTATCTCTCCTTACTCTCTTCTCTTGCTTTGTGTGCTACAAGGGAGTGTGACAACTCGAACTGCTGCACATTTGTGCAAAGTTCTCCGTTGAAACCAGTCAGTCAATGATGATACGAAAAGAGGTAGATCCACATAAAAAGTGCTGACAAACACTATTTCTCAATGACTAGCTGCGTCAGCTTACTAAAAAGAAGAGCAGTTCATTCCATATAATTCCCAATCTGCCTCAAACGTTTTGTAATCCACTCAATAAACTAAGTTGGATACTCCGAGATAACCCGACCGAAAGCTGCTACCTTGACGTGGTGGTCGGGCTTGAACACCGCAATGACCTAATCAAGCTATACTGGCTGAGACTTATGTCTCTTGAGGTTCTACCATGCCAGGCAGGTTGTTTGGATAGCGGTTAAACAAAAAGCAGCTACCCAATCCAACATCATGTCCAATACAAAATTACAAAATTTCATGCCGGATCGGCCGTGGCCCGGATTAACAACGACCGCGCTTCCTGCTGCCGTGTCACAGGGCGGGAGTGATAAATCTGCTACTGAGACACACCAAACAAAAAAGAACGAACAAAAACAGGCCGCGTGTGACCGGCCTCAAGCAGTTGTCCCCTGGGCTCTGCGGTCACGCAACCAACTTCCACGGTGTGGGCAGCCGGGAAGTAACAATCGCCCTCACAATCCGAAATGCACACGAAACCTCTCTATTACTCACTCATCTTTGTCTTCATCTTCATCTCTATCATCTTGCCTTCCACTGATGCAACTCCTCGACTTGATAGCTCTCCACTTCCTCTCCACTCTGCGTCCACTAAAAACGATGGAAGCCAAAAAACCACCACCGACAGCCTCTTAAAGCCGCGCCACCAATTTCATATAGGAGCTCTTAATGTTAGGACACTTTGCCAAATAGGACAACAAGCATCACTAGCCAAGACCCTGGCATCACGAGCCATTGATGTATGCTGTGTTTCAGAAACACGCATACAAGACCCAAGTGTGGTTATTCACCTAACCCCACCTGGCCAACAGGTTGAATCTGCAAAATTCACCTTGAGGGTGTCAGGAGATGCCACAGCTAGTTCACGAGGATTAGCTGGCGTAGGGATAGCTTTGAGTACTAGGGCAGAAAAGACATTGCTTGACTGGATCCCGGTAGATAGCCGAATGTGTGCTGTCCGCCTGAACGGATCAGTAAGAAGGAGGAAGGACTGCACTACTCGCCGATGCCTTTTCGTAATCTCCGCCTACGCCCCCACTGACTGCAGTTCAGATGAAACGAAGGATGAGTTCTACCAAAAGCTGTCTAGTTTGGTGGAAAGGCTAAACGCTCAGACATAGTCGTTCTAGCTGGTGACTTTAACGCTCAAGTAGGGAAATTGTGTCAATCTGAGAAGGATGTCGGTGGCACCTATGGAGTTCCGTGCCAGCGAACCGACAACGGTGACCGTCTCCTACAGTTCTGCTCTGATAATCATTTGTTTCTTGTAAGCACTAACTTTAAACACAAGGAGAGACACTGTTTGACTTGGAGACCCCCTTCATCAAACCAACGCTGGACACAAATAGACCACATAGCAATAAGCTATCGTTGGCGTGGGTCGGTAGGAGATTGTCGCTCCTTCTGGAACACGTGCGTAGATACCGACCATGCACTGGTCCGCGCTCGGGTGTGCTTACGACTGAACGGACGTAGGAAACAGCTGGCGGTAAAACCATCACGTCCCCAGCTCGATCAGGAAACTAAATCCGTATTTCAGGAAGAACTAGCTAAACACATATCTGTGTTCGACAGCTGTGCTCACCCTGAAGAAGCTTGGAAAAATATCCAGGCAGCCATAGATACAGCTGTAAAAGCTGTGAATAAGGTAAACCCAAAGGTGAGTAAAAACCACTGGATCTCCACCGCCTCATCCGAACTGATAGATGCTAGAAGACTTATTCCGGCGAGCTCCGAATTCAATGAGGAGCGAAAGCTGCACAAGAGGAAACTTACGAAAAGTCTCCGCAAGGACCGTGAACAGTGGTGGGCGACAAAAGCCAAAGAGATGGAGAAAGCTTTGAGGATAGGCAACACCAGGCAACTCTTTGGACTCATCAGGGAAACGGGTGGGAGAAGACAAATCATTAGTGAGACAATCTCGGAAAAAAATGGCACTATAATTAGCTCACAGGATAGACGACTGGATCGTTGGAAAGAGCATTATGAGGAGCAGTTTAATTTGCCCACAGCCACGCTCAACCTTCCGAGCATCCAACACCTCCCTGAATGGGATATAGACACAGGTCCTCCGTCACTAACTGAGGTTACTAAAGCTGTCACCAATCTGAAACTAGGCAAAGCAGCGGGACCTGATGGAATGACTCCAGAGGTATTTAAGTACGGTGGAGACAGCTTACTGTCCGGATTAACTGAGGTACTAGGCAGCGTCTGGGAATCAGAAGAAGTCCCATCGGGTTGGTGTAAGTCACTGATTATCCCCATATACAAGAAGGGAGACAAGTCTTCCTGTGATAATCACAGAGGGATTAGCTTGACTAATATAGTATCTAAAGTCTTAGGCTCAATAATCATGCGTAGACTGAGTGGTGCTCGGGAAGCACAAACACGAGAGAGCCAGGCAGGCTTTAGACCAGGAAGAGGGTGTATTGATCATATCTTCACCCTCCGACAGATTCTAGAACATAGGCATTCCTACCGGCGTCCAACAGTCATTATATTTCTTGACCTAAAGGCAGCATTCGACTCTGTCGATCGGGAAGTTCTCTGGAGATGCTTGGCTGTAAAGGGAATTCCAAGAAAATATATTGCACTGATTAAGGCACTCTATTCGTACTCATACAGCCAGGTGAGGGCTTACGGCGAGCTGTCATCTGAACTGATGACGACCAGTGGTGTCCGTCAAGGATGCCCATTATCTCCTTTTCTATTCAACTTCATCATAGATGTGTTAATGGACTTAACCCTAGGTGACTTCAGCGACTCAGGAATTGACTTGCTACCGGGGAATAATCTCGTTGACTTGGAATATGCAGACGATATAGTCCTTCTAGGCGAAGACGCTGACGAAATGCAGAGTCTTCTAAACACCTTGAGCCGCAATCTACGAATGTTTGGCATGCGATTCGCTCCCGCCAAATGCAAGATGATGTTACAGGACTGGACTACATCGACGCCTAGTTTAAAAATAGGAAGTGAAGTGGTAGAGCACGTTGACCGCTTCACTTATTTGGGAAGTACCATCAGCCCCAACGGGCTGATCTCTGACGAAATCTCAGCACGAATACAAGGGGCTCGTTTCGCATTTGTTAGTTTACGCCGACTCTGGCGTAGACGAGATGTTCGACTATCGACCAAAGGGCGGGTGTACTGCTCATCAGTCCGCTCCGTCCTCCTTTATGGTTGTGAGACCTGG